ATCTAACTTTTGGTAAATCCTGGTGGCTAGAGTGAAAAAAAAAAGTTTTTAAAAGTTACGTTGCATTAAACAGAAAAAGTTTTTACTTCTAAGAATAGAGATGAACTTTATTTCAAAATGTCAGCTGGAGCTGAATATAGTTTAAAGTGAAAAGTTTGTCGTGATGAATTGAGGTGACATTTGGTTTTATTGGCCCTCAGTCAGAGAAGATAATAAAATTCACTGGAATGTTGCCTCGAACTTTACATCAAGAAAACTGCTGAAATGTAACGTAAATTACTACAAAGCAGGACATCTGGGTGGAGACCAGCTCAGTCTGACTGTACCGAGCACCTGTCACGAACATGTGAGAATAATAAAGTACGTTTTTTTTTATTAAAAACTGGAGTGCATGAATATATCTTGAAGGCTTGAAACAGCTTTGAAAGATGACTGGACTTTGTCAGGGATCAAAGAAATAGCCTTCATTCCTCCATGGCAGTTAGTTTTGGGATGCATATTTTAATAAATGACAAATGCAGTCTCCTCTTGAAACTAAGAATACAGTCTCAGTAAGTAGAGGGAGATTCAATTAACATAAGACAACACAGCCCTTCTTCCTCAGTCCTCTTCACCCTCAGCAACCTTTGCTCAGATCAGAAACTCGTTAAGGAAAACACGTGTAGCTACATTTTTGAGGAGGTGCATCATCAGCTATGTAAGCCCTTCACTTAAAAGATTCTTTTGGCCTGAACTTTTGATTGTAATCTCTGCCTAAAGCTGTGGATATTAGGAGGGTTTTTAGCGAAGTACAACAACCTCTTTCCAGTTCAGTTGCACAACGAGTTCACCTTCTGACAAATAATCACAATAATCCAAAGTAATACTGAATCACTACAGCGGAAATGTAAGGAAACGGTCCGTCGGTGTTTCTTAGCGTGACAGGTGCGGATCACGCGTGCAAACGCTTTACACAAGGAGGTGGAGACGGCGACGAGGAGGATTAACTGTGTCATGTCAAAGCGACATCTTGGCTGCAGTAAGCTTCCTCCTCCTCTGCATCAGTCAGCGTGGATAAGGAGAAGTCACAGCCTCCAGTTAGAAGAACAGCAACCACCCAGGAAGGCTCATCTTCACAAAGAGCGTCACAGACAAGCTACTGAAAATTAAAAGACTGACAGAAACATTGAGGGTTTTTGTTTCAGGGTAAAATTAGAAACTTTGCAAACTTTTGTGTTGTAGGTAAAGTAGGTTTTATTAATGTTGGTGCCACTATAGCTCACCTGGTTGAGCTGGCGTCCCATGTACAGGGGCTAAAGTCCCCGTCGCAGCGGTCATGGGTTCAAGTCCCACTCATGACCCTTTGCTGCAGGTTCTTCTCCCCCACTTTCCTGTCTCTTTCTCTGTCCTATCAAATAAGGCCAAAAAAATATCTTTAAAAAAAAAAAGTTTAATTTATGTTTGAAAAGCTCAGTGTATCATTTCTCTTCCTCCCATTTTGGCTCCATCTACAATTTAGAATCAACCTGCTGTTTTTAATTTAGATGATAGATTCCTCTGATCATTCAGTGGTTGATAGTTGTTTGCTTTTTTTAAAGCTATAAGATCTTCTTTAAAAGTATCTCAGTTAATTTCAGTAACTGTTGTGATCATTACTATAATAATTTTAATTTCTGTTGCCTTGTGGAGTTAACATTTTAAATAATTTCCATCAGCAGTAGCTTATTAATCACACTGTTGAGATACTTCTTGAGGCGATAAGTAATGCTGATAAATAATTAGGTAAACTATTTGATAATTTAACTAGAAAGTCTCAAACTTTGGTTTAAAATATTGCATTTCCTTATTGTATCCCATAAAACCCACACACAGTCAGTCTATTTCAACTATCCTGCTGTAGAGTCTGCTTTTATTATGCCTATAGCGCTTGAGGTTTTTTGTGATGCTGTCATAGAGGTGTTAATTAAATTACATATTGAGGACATAGTGATGGACTGGAGTGCGTATTGAGAGGTACTTCTAATATTCTACAGCACTCGTGTATGTAAATGAGAGGACGTTCAGTTCTAAACACTGCTCAGTATGACGTCATCCAGTAAAATCTTTTAACTGTGACCTCAATACAAAAAAAAAACAAAAACATATGATTGAAACCTGAATGTTCCAAGCTTTGTAAAGACAGATGTTGAAGCACGGCTGTTGTGTTGGACTCTATTAGATTGTACAGGTGCTGTTCAGCCATGCAGCACATGAAATTCATTTAACAGATGGTTTTGTGTTAAATTACTTTCCCCTAGACTCATCAGCAGCAGCTCTGCCACCTGAAGCACTGACTTCCTCGTTGCTAGGCACCTTTCCTATGAAATACACAATGCTTTCTATGCACAGTGATCACTTTAGATAACAGTCTTTTATAGTTACTGACGGAGCTTTTCTGACTGTGAGGAAAAGCTTGTTGCACCTATAACCGTCAAAGCATGGCCCCCCCTTTGTTTTAAGTTTGGATTTGGGAATTTTGAAAAGGATTTTCACATCTTAAGGCGGTGTTGGTGCAGAATAAAGGGTGAGGAGTTCTGAGATATAGAGGTAATCAAGAAATTCTGTAACTGTTGAGGAGTCGGTGTAATTCATCCAGGGCAGAAGTAATGTTTTCCTTGTGTCGAGTATTTGTGAGTGGTCTCTCCAATGAGTTTTGAAGCAACTGTAAACAGGCAGTTGCAGCATCGATTAGGCAAGTGAGTAGTTGCAGTATTATAGGTGTGAAAAAACGAGGGTAATGATGAGTTTTCCAGCTGCTTTCGGGGACATTTGTTTGGCAATATTTCTTATTTGCTTACAGCGAGAGCCACAAAGCCGTCGGTATGCGAACCAGAAACTCAGCTGCTTTCAATTACAACCAAATGCAGCTAAATAAAATGTGATCCTAAGAGCTTCAGTAAAAAGCAGCTGTCTAAGGTTTTTAAAAGCTGTTTTACCTCTTGCTCAAGAGGCATCGTCATCAATTAGATTAGATTAGATTGCACTTTATTTTTCACCACAACTCACTTGTTGCAGCAGTACGGATACAGAGCACTAAAGATAAAGAGCACAGAACAGTGACAGGAAGAGAACAAATAAACTATGAATAGGAAGAGCTGAGAAATGTAATGCAGTAGAGCTGTACAATTCTGTGATTAGGAACCTTAAAAAAAAGTTGCTTTCTATTAAAGTTTCTACGATTACCATGACCTGGATGACTGAGAATCTACCCAGGCTACATTCAGTGTTTTACTGCATAGCTACTGAGGAATGACTCCTCTCAGTTTGTTGTGAAGCTCTACAATAGAATGACTCCAGCTTCTAGGAATCTGGTCACCCTACATCCACAGAGCCGCCGGTAGTTTATCTTTTCAGATTACCGGAAGCAATGTTGTCTAGATGCACACAGATTGACTGACGAGCAGAGAGAGATGAGTCAGTTCTGTGTGGAAAAACAGACGCAACACAAAATTACAGACGTAGTTAGTCCACTCAAATTCTTCTGCTATGCATTTAGCATTTCTGCCGACCTCTACCACATTTCAAATGTTAATAGTGACACAGGTACTGCTGCTTATACAAAGAGCTGCTTATACTTTCAGATGACCTCTCTATAGGAGAAGGGGGATCACCGCTGGGGTTTGTAGAGGAGAGGAAACCAGAGGTCAAGCAGGCAGCAGAAATACGTCCCAACCTTACTCTCTGGATTTAATCCAATACTTAGAAAACCCATCCTTCCCTTGTTTCCGCCCTCGAGATTATATCACCGACCCAAGTGAGAGCAAAAAAAAAAAAAAAAGCTGTCATAAACTCACTTCTTGCCAGATCTGATTAATTGGTGAGTATAAGCAGCTGAGGAACACTTGACATCATTGAGGCTTAATGACACAAATCCAGAAGTGATTTACAAAACCTTCAAGAGGGAGAATGGATTCCTGACGCATAAAGTCGTTCTTTACTCTGTGTCTCACTGGCCACTGACAGCAGCAAAATCGCAGAGGAAACAGGAAAGGCCTGAGCAGCTTGGTGTTGGGACGGATATCCTCTTTTGGAGGCGTTCCCCCTCCTCCCTCACTTAACTCTCCCTCTCTTTATCTCTTTTTATCGTTTTTTTTCTCCCCCCCTAAGCCCATTTCGCTCTCGGTGTGGCATTAGCTGTTTGCGCTCAGAGGCAAAGATTTCTGCTCGTCTGTCGGGGTTTTTTTTGGGGTCATCTAAGCTGAGCGAACTATGTGTTGGCATGGCGACGAGGAGGATGAGGACAGCTCCGAGGTGAAGTGTTGTTGGCTTGTTTGTTTGATTTGTGCGTTCCGGTAATAGCGGCCGAGTGACCGGGATTTCTAGTGACTAACCGCCTGTGTTTCCTGATTGTGTCTATGGATTGTTGGGTCTCCAGGTTTCGTTTTGTAGTAATTTGTGGCTCTGCTACAGGTGAAACGACACGGGTTTATCATTCTAGTCGGCAGGAAAAGTCTAATTCTATACGAGTACTAAAGCTTCTGTTAATATTTTTTGAGTATTTATGTCTTTTTAAACAACACACTATGAGAAAACACTGAATGAGGACAATGGATAGCTCAGGCTGTGGAATAGATTTGTAATTATTCTTCTGTATTCTCTGACTTTTAGCCCATTTGTCAGACAGACTTCAGTGAAAATGGCTTCTCTAGCTGTGTCCTTGAACTTCAGCAACTTTAAAGCGCTTTTTCTAAACACGTTGTACATTAAAGATTTGTTTGGAAGTATTACAAGCACAGATTTTTGTTATTCCTCGCTGCTCTTCCTGCATCTCTTCCCCATCCTGCTGCTTTCTTGTTTTCACTCAGCTTTCCCTCGACCCCCTCATCACTATCATCTCTCCCTCTCTTTCCTCCCATTACCTCCTTATCTCACTCACCATCTCTTCCTCTTCTGTCTCTTCGCTCTCAACGGTGTCTTATTTGAGTTCTTTTTTTTTTTTTTTATTGCTCATAAACACGTTATCCTTTCCCCTCTCCATCCAGAGCGACCCAGGCGGGCTGTCTGTTCTGGAGCAGCTCGGTCTGGACCAGAACTCCGATTTCTCAGACTCCAGCGTTCAGCAGCTTCTGGATGAGCAACGCGAAAGAATCCGCAGAGAGATTCGCAAGGAGCTTAAGATCAAGGAGGGAGCCGAGAACCTGCGCAGGGCGACGACGGACAAGAGGAACGCACAACAGGTCAGTACGGCTTCCCTTAGATGCTTCGTTCGCTTAATAAGGTTCCAAAGAATTCACAACAAATGTCTCATTTCTTTGGGAGCCTTTAAGCAGGTTTCCCACTAGAATGGATGAACTGAAAACGAAATGCTAAGAGGAAACTTCACAGTCATGCTGTGGCTGAGAAAGTATCTTCCAAAGACAAAACCCCAGTAACCAACAAGCCCACGACAGAGTGATGAGGTTATGGAACCACTTTTGTTTACAGTATATTCAAATTTTAACCCTAGAAGTCACAGGAAACCAGTTTAATTGTGTCTGTCTGGAAAAAGCAGCTGATGAATCAGACACACCAGTTCACCGGAACCGGGTAGATGTGCTGGTATGTTAACTTCTTATCCTGTTTGTTTTTTTCCAGAAAGTTGGGACTTTCTGAAAGATCTGACACATATTTTTAAGCTTCAAAGCGACTCGTGTTTTTCAAACTTTTATTTTCTTAGTTGTAGGCTCGCTGAGAATCTGTATTCCATATTCAGCCTCACAGTCATATAGACCCACACATTTACATCCCAGAGCTACTGAGCGACTCAATTTCTCATCAAACTAGGGCCCAAGATTTTATAGTCTTGGGAAACACACTCATTAAAACTGAGAAGCTTTTAAATATTATGCACCCAAGTATTGGAACAACATTCAAAACCTGTTGAGATTAGATTTAAGGTTTAAGGCCCTGGTGTCCAACATGGAGCAGTATGAGTGTTTTCTTTAATTTTATCTTGTACACTTCCTCTAACTTCTGATTGTTTGTTCTGTAAAGAGTGTTTTATTTTGATTTTTTGTGACGTTTATTCTGTATGTGAGAGTCTGTGTCATATCTATTCTTTGTGTTTTATTCTGTATTTGTTTTGTATTTTAGTAATAGCTGAAAAATGTGGTTTTTGCTTATTGTCATGCTTACAGGGCATCCATGAAAAAGAGAGTATCTACTCTCATTGGGGCTTTTCCCAGTATAAATAAATGTGAATAGATAAATCCAAGGTGTAGGTTCAGGACAAAAAAAAAAAAACAAATAAAAAAGGAAAAAGATCCTCACTTTGTCGTAACTACCAACTCCATGACACAGTGTTTCTCTGCTTTAACACATTCTATTGTTTTTTATGTTCTGATTCTTTATTTGTTTTTTTTTTTTTTTTATTATTTTAGGGGGTGATTCGGCCTTTATTTAATAGACAGTTAAAGATAGAAACAGGAAAGCAGAGATAGGGAATGACATCCAGCAAATCACCCTGAGCCGAATCAATCCGAGGATACTGCATCAGCGACTATAACCCTTACACATGATCTTTGAATTATCATTTTTCATTGATGCATCCAATGAATTTCTGTTTTTGTTGTTTTTTGTCTCTCATCATTGACTTTGCTACCCAGATTTGTCCTGTCAATGAAGGTGAGGGAAAGGTTATGTCTCTAAACATGTGCCAGCTATTCTACATTTGTCAGTATATTATTTTTGCTAAGAGTTCTTGACAGCCTGCTGTGCACTCAACAAGAATACCAAGATCATTACTCAGGCATATTTTTGTAGATTCACACATTTTCGGGGTATGTTCAGGATTATATAAAAAGCATCTCCCCAGCAATTACACCTGTTTGATTACAGCGGGTGAGCACAGGAATCGTTTCCCTCACTTGTCAACAAATTACCTTGCGGCATTTATTCACAATGGATTAGTTTGACAGGAATGCTGAGCCGGCGTGCAGACGGCCAATAAGTCAGAATTTAGTGCTTCAAAACAAGATTAAGACAGAAGGTCAACATCAAAATAGCACAAACTGTCTGAAGACTTTAACAATCAAATAGTTCATGTTTCAAGAAAATTACTAGAAACCGAATAAAATTAGTTTATATCCTGCCCCCTTGCTTCCTATTATTTACTTGTTTATATCCACATATGAGTTAAGGTTTCATTATTCTCTGCTTGGCTTGTACACTGGTGGAATCAAACCGATAATAAGAATCACTGTGTCTCCTCCCCCCTAACAAGAAATAAAACAAAGAATTAATGCTTGTTTCTGACCACAGGTGGACAGTCAGCTACGATCCTCCAACCGCCGGCTGGACAATCTGCACGCTCAGCTGCAGGAGCTGGATGCTCACATTGTGGTGAAGGGAGGAGAGGAGAATAAAGGTATGTAGAGGAGGAACTGCTCCACCTGCGATGTGTATTCTCTTGTCCTGTTGGCTGCCAATCAGTGAGTAGGAATGCTATGTGGTATTTTTTTATTACAACTATGTGGTGCAACACTTTGATTCATGAGCTAGTTTAAGGTTGGCATAGTAAAAGCAAGCGTGTTTACGACAGAGATGCTAATCGAAAAGAAATGGCCCATTAAAAATGACCTCATATAACTGGAAAGGTAATTATCAGCCAGGGGCAAGAAATAGCTGCATTTGTCATTATTTTTCTTCTTGTGTGTTTTAAATTATATCTACTATGAGCTCTACAAATTTACAATATTGTTTCTCATACTTATTTAACTTTGGATGCCCGTGTAGTCTGTTTAGGTTTGTTTTTTTAACACTTCATTTTTAGATTCTCACTTTATAGAACAAAAGCAGTATGGAACCAACACTTCTTCATGGCCTCAATAGAAAAAAAAAGTTAAATACACACAGTAAAATATGGTTTTAAACAATTTCATACATGTACAATGTTTAACAGTGTTTACAGTAGAGACATGTGACATTATACAGCTCGAGTTCCAACTGGTTATCTCATGTATATGTTGCTGTAAAACAGAAAATGATAAAGAGAGCCCAGGCTTCAAATGTGTCTTTTCTGAGAATTATTCCACTCATTTCTCAACTTCTCTGCTAGAATTATAGAGAGTACTTCCTTTACTTAGAATTTAAATAGGGGAAATTTCACCAACATTCAGTGCAGAAGAATTTGCCTTCAGGCCTGCAGCACTACAGATGCTACAGCACTTAGATGGAGAACAGTATATTTTTCTTCTGACAGAGACATCTTAAAGATAGCAGCTATGGAGCTTTGATCTACTGGCCCATCACAAATGTAGCTGACTGTTTCTAAGAACCCTCACCCAGAACTTGCCTAGTAGACTGCTCAACCAGAGCATGTGACCAAGTGTCAGTGGACTGTGGTGACATCTTGGGCATTTGGGGTTGTTTCCAGGGTAGACTTCAACCATTTTTCATTTGAAAGTTGCAATCAGTGTACTTCTTTTAATTAGAAAAGAGGTGATATATATACATTTTTAACTACAGAAGTAGGCTAGAAATAGAGGGAACTCAAAAGGTTTTTTTTTTCTAGTGTAATGCCATAAATCATCATAAAAGGAAAAAACACCAGTAGAATTTTTCCAAGTGTCTACAAGTGTTAGCAAAACTGGGAACAACTTTTGACTCTTTAAATTATAGATATTCTACTACTTATATTTTTTAACTTGTTTATGTGTTTGTCCTATATGTGCTCTGTGTAAACACAATCTACAGTTCAATTGAATCCAACCTAAAAGTCCCAGAATTTTTGTCACGTGATGGTTGGTGAGCTGAGTCACTAATGGCTTCTCCGTCTGCACTGAGCTGCACAGAATTATTTGCTTTTTATAGAATCTGTTCAGTGCAAACAGTCTATTTTTGTTGAATTTCTAAGTGAGACATGTAGATTAATATGATTGAATTTGAAATTAAAATACGATGAAATATCATGATTAGAAGCTTCGATTTAATTACTTTCTCCAACAAGTGATGTGGACAGAAAAGTGATTGTTTACCAATAGGATCAGAATATCTGCTTACTTAGCAGAGGCTTTTGAATAAATATGAACACTTATCTTGTTCCTGATAATGAAATTTTATGTTTTGTTCTCTGTTGAAATGGGGACTAAGACTTCTGGCCAGTTGAAAAGTAAAATGAGCTCATGTTTTGCCTTTTCTTATTTCATCTTGTTGGGACACCATTTAGAAAAGCCAAAGAAATGCTCCAAATCCACAGCTTGTTGCCAGCTTTTATATGCCGTAGTGGATCTCTAATCGTTTGGACAACCGTGACAGTCATCAGATCTATTTCCCAACATGCTGTTGCAGAAATCCAAGCAGTGTAGCAATATTATTAGACGCTGCATGAAATTCCCTCAAGAGTGTTTTTACTTGAGAGCGCACCATGTGAACCCTCCTCTCGTTCCTCATTGTATCGTCTCCAACCTTTTGCTTCCCTCCGCAGATGAGTGTCCTCAGTCTCCTGGGGCAGAGAGTCGTACGTCAGCCCACAAAGAACGCATCGCAGCCCTGGAGAGACAGCTCAACATCGAGCTCAAAGTCAAACAGGGAGTCGAGAATATGATCCCCATCTACGCCAATGGATCCACCAAGGTACAGGACAACCACTCTATTGTGGAGCAGATAGCTTTCACCGACGTTTTCCACACACAGTACACCCCTCCCCCAGTTGGCCAGTAACCAACAGTGTGTGTGTGTGTGTGTTCATGATCTGTAACCTTGCAATCTGCTGACTCAGACCATGATCTCTACATGTATATAACCTGACACGCAAAACCACTTTCAAATGCATACATCTTCTCACTTAATTACTTTAAATTTTCCCTTCCCCCCTTTTTTATGCAGCATCTGCTTTGTCTTTGTCATTTGACCTTGCTCTCATACTTCCACTTCCCTATGCACCATTTAAAGACCATATGAGAGTTGCAGCGATCAGCCAACTTGAAAGGAATGCAAAGAATTCTTCTATTTTTAGTCTTGATTACAGATAACCATTATGTACAGTGAGGTCATGTCCTCATGTCAATGTTTTCTTAGATTATAATGCATTTCTTTTTGCTTCAGTCATGTGATTTGCTTGCCGTTTTGTTTCGCTCAGGATAAGAAGATGCTGCAGACGGCCCAGCAGATGCTGCAGGACAGTAAGACCAAAATCGACATCATCCGCATGCAAATCCGCAAAGCTGTCCAGGCCACCGAGCACAACGACGACACACAGGGTGAGTCTGATTGGTTGGCTTAATGAATGTAGAAGACTGACAGGTTGACCACATTGACAAGTGTTAATATAGTACCTGTGCTTGTGGGTATTTTATGATTTCTTTGTTCTTTTAACATATGGAAAGTAAAGAGCTGATTGAAAATAAGTGGAGAGTGACAGTGAATGACACGCAACAAAACTTTCTAGCCAGTGTCCAACTGTGGAGATGCGATTACATGGTCAGTGCTTTAAAACACAAGTGCATCCATTACTGGTCTTAGCAAAAAAAGCTTCTAAGCCCTAAATGACAGTAAAATGGATCTGCTGTTAATAAATCAATACCCCTACTTAGCTTGCTGGATGCTAAACTTAGCTGACAAAAGCACAAAAAAATGTTCTTTCCAGATTTTTGGGCCTGCTGTCAATCACAGAAATTAAATCCTTCTGTTCTGCACATGAAGCCTGGAAGAGAAGTTGTCAGCTATTTCCATAATTATTTCTGACCCATTGATGACAATGTGTTAATTTTAATCAGACGCTCCAGAGTGTTACACAGTGTGGTTTATGACGGCGGTCAGCTGGCAGTGACGGGGTGCTTTTTATCGCGTTTCATCTCTGCATCTCATCGTGGGATGGGCTGTCTCGCTTTCTTCTGCTCTGCATGTCATACATTTTGTCCAGCGCAGCAGCAGCAGCTCCAGACAGCAGACACACAGCAGCATAAACAGATCAATGAGGAGCCGGCTCGGTGTTTTCACATCTGTCCGCCTGGGTCTTGTCTAGAAGAAGATGAAGAGGATAGTTAGTTTGATGCACTGTGGACTGTGTGTGTGTGTGTGTGTATTTGTGTAGGTGGGGTTGCCAAATATGGATGTGAGGAATACAAAGCCTGTGAAATGGCCCACCTGGCACATTACCACAATCAATCAAATTCATACACAGAAGCATTACAAAAAAAATCCAACAAAACGGTGCAAGATGAAAAGCCTCTTTGATACACACACTGTAGTCATTCTCTGTGTGAAAGCACAGCAGCAACACGTACCTGGCAGGGGATTTTATACATGCTTTTGTGTGAATGTTGCAGTTTTGATCCAGATGCAAGCCACGCACACACTAAAGTACTACTGGTCATGCACTTACAGTCACAGCCAAACAAAGAACTGTCACGTCCTGCGCACATTCACTTCTCTCTGGCACGCACTCGCATTACACGTTGTGGCAGCGCGATCAATGCCTGAACAGGTGAATGGCTTTCTATAGGGCAGTGAGTGCTGTGGACCATTAAGGCCCCTCTGCTGGGAAAACAGGCCGCTTGATGTCGGTCACAGGAGGTGGACGCTCTGGTAAAATGTAGCAGGGGAGCAGGGAGACGGCGACGGGAGGGGGTAGAAGTAACGAAACTGTGCTCAAAGATGGTGTATTCCCTTTGGGGCTATCTATTCCTTTCTGCTCATGTCAGACTGAGGGAGCTGGTGGCTCTTAAGAAAGTGGGGGTCTTTTAGGGCAAAGAAGATAATGGACATTCGGAAGGATTATTTAAAGGCCTTTTAAGGGCATACTTTATCCATCTGTGTCCTCCATGTGGAAAACCTGCAGGGTTTTTAATGATCTGGAGTTCTTTCCACTGCTGCAACGTGATAAAAATAGTAATATAGATGTTGATGACCAGAATGAGCAGCAGTGTGTTTTAAAAGATACCAAATTTGATGTAAAAGTTTTAAAAGAAGGGAATAGCAAAAGCAGCAAAACTAGAGATATTGCCCTTTTTTTTTTACCCCGCACCATCTTCTCTCATGTCAAAAACCTGGTGCCTACATTACCCACAAACCATCAGCCGTTGTGAGTTTGATCAAAGATGTGTGTGTTGTGCTATTATTTGTCCTCAAGCTGTCAGCAAAGTTGGTGTGTGTATTGGTATTCCTCTTTAACCCTCTGAACCCCAAAGCCTGCTGGCAGGTTTAAAAAAAATAAATAAATAAAAAAAAGGTTATCTTTGAAAAAATTCATCAAAAAAACACAATTTGTCAGAGGCAGAAACTGTAAAACAGAAAGAGCTGTCA